TTACTGGAAGAACTATCTTCTTCACTTTCTTCATCAGAGTGAGACACATGGATATCCATGCACTAAAAAGAAAAAAAATGCTACATTAAAGAAAACAGGGTACTTGCAAAACCAAAGCAATGTGCATCAAAGCAATAATCAATCAAATGTACATATCCCTAGTCATCTATTCCAGAGATTCAGCAAACAAAGCAATATGCATCAAATTTATAAAACATAGACTTTTCACACCACAAATTAAATGCATTAAAATCTAAAACCAGACATAAATTAGGGGAAAATACCATCCAAGACACAGAATTAGTTGTACCAACCTTAGTAGTAGAATCCATGTCCTTAATCAATTATTCAAACACACAGATATTTGGTAGCAAAATAAACCTCGAACACGGAATTTCTGCAGTAAAGTAATTCAAAAGCCATTAAAACCCTAGCTAACAACTACAATCGCTTTGATAAAGATTTGACAATTCGAAAAACAAATCTAAAAAAAGAATCGAATTTAAAGATACAGAGAGAGAGAGAGAGAATTACCATGGAGATCGAAGATGAGAGAGCCGAGAGAGATGAGAGAGAGCCGAGAGAGATGAGAGAGCCGAGAGAGAAAGCAAGAAAGAGCGCAGGAGTTTAGATCGTAAAATTAGATCTAAAATTAGATCTAAGATCCGACCCGAGATCCGCGTGTTTTTTTATTTGACCCGTGGAATTCACTCCAATTCTTTTATTCTAGTATGGAATTTAAAATGTAGAATTGAAAATTTTGGAATTAGAATTGAATTCCAATTCTATAGATTTTTTTCATACCAAACATCAGAATTGGAATTAAAGTCTCCAATTCCAATTCCGTGGCTTGAATTCTGCGTACCAAACGGACCCTAACATTTAGAAGGAAACATAGTCCCTGCTGCATTTGATTTGGTAGATTCTAGTTATGGACGGAGAGAATGGGCGAATGAAACTGGACGAGAAGCAGGTCAGGTATAAGATATCTTCCCAGTTTTTGAGATAACATATACAGTACAGAAATCAGGTACCCCTTGTAAAAGCTTGAACTATATTGAGTTGGGGTGATGACAAAAATTTATGCCTTACTAGACATTCTCTTAAAATGTTTATGTATTGTTTTTTTATCATTCAGACATGAAACACTAGTAGATGTTTTTATTACTCTGTTAACTCTCAGATACGTGTTTCCAGCAGGCACAAAGAGAAAACAGATCCACTATGGCTGCAAAATAGTGACTGCCCTACCAAGATACATATTTGGTTCTCTAAATGCCTCAACATTTGAAAGCATGATATCATCACAGCCTCTATACACATAGAGTGTATATATTTGTGTGTATATAGTCTCAGGAAAAAAAGAATGCCTCCACTTAGTCAGATCTAATGTTAATAAAATGCTGATTTGTTCTTTTCTGTATGCACTTGTTTCTTCTTTGCTTGATAAATTACTAATTAGAAATGCTTGAATCATTTCAACATAAAGGTAGCACACAGTACAGTGTCATGTTGAGAACATGAATAAAGACTAAACCGAGGGTAAGAACTTTGAAATTCATGCTGTAAAAAGGATAGTTTAGTGGATAAAGCATCCTGCTAAGTGAGGGTTTCATGCAATTGCACCCACATACACAAGAGAAAACAATGTGTGTTTGTGATTAGGTTTTAAGAATTTTACTATCCAGCATAGTGAAAATGCTTTTGTTTGTTTGGCTAGTTGATAAGATCATTGCAGGGTACAAACTTAAAGAAATGGAGACTGATGGTGAACGAGATTGTTAGATTCACAAATGTGGACTTTGGCTCTTCAGTTATTACTTTTGCCTTGAAACTCTCTATTGTTAGGTGGAAGCACTTGCAATGGCAATGGGTCATCTCTACTATAAGGGCATGTCCTCCACCTAAGGGTTAATCAAATCAAAGATGAATGAGTGGGGGAAGAGGTAACTTGATCAAAAGACAGGAAGTGTATTCCATGTGAAATAAAGAAATGAGGGAAGATGGAAGAGTAATGGTGGTGGTAAAGAGGATGACGTAATGTTAATCATATTTTAAATGTATAAATTTAGAGTGTGTTCAATATATTGTATTTTTAGAATTTATATTTGTTTCGTAATCAATATTTGTAAGGGAATCAAATTTCAATTATTAAATAGGTTCCAGTTGAAAACAATATAATTTCAAGTAGTTTTGCAATGTATTAAAACATTTATATGAATTATCGACTGACAACACCAAATAACAGTAATTTGATTCAGTTTCAAACAACTATTTTAAGAAAGTGAAGACTTTGGGATAATTTGATCCACCTGCACCAAAAATATGGAAGGGAACACAGTATAGCACAGATAAAGCACCAAGTACAAGCAACAAGTACAATCAATAGCAGAAGATTCCAAAGTCTTCACTTTCTTACTCCAATTTCTCAATCTCCCTTCTCTATTTGATACGTTACCATATCAGACATCATGGGAAACCAATACTCTAAAACAACAAGAAACAGTTATTTGATTCAGTTTCATACAACTATTTTAAAACAGGAGTCTGTCTATCTATCACACTGCTGCTCGGAAGACCACTGAAACCAGCACTATCAGACTACCGAAAAATAGTTGTCAGCATCTGTTTTTGGCATAGGGAGTACACATCTTTTGTTCGTGTCCAATTTCTCAAGTTCATGCCTTAACTTTTGATCATGTTATCCATCTTCATCAGCGTATGTGTCACCCATCCCCAAATATTACTTCATTTTTAATATGAATAATAGTAGTTCTTCTGTTAAAAAACTACATACTTGTGAGATTTGTTGTACGTGCCAGGCGGATGAACGGCCAAATTTTGTCGATTCCGACAAAATTGGTCCGTCTGATTCTTTAATTTTGGAGCGAGAAATGGATTGAGATTTTGCTCAATTTTAATTGTACTTTTATATATATAATAGATTAGCTAGTTTTATATCAAAATAAATATTTTAAAAAGTTAAATAATATTTTAAAGTGAAAATTTATATGATTTTAAAACTGTTCATTATTTTCTCTTAACTACTTTTCAAAATAGAGATATTCGTGTACGTCAATATCAAAATCAAAACATTTTTTTAGAAAGAGTGTTACAAGTATTTATATAACACATATTACATCATTATTAGAATATTAAAATAAATGAAATCACATTAAAAAAAATCAACAATTTAGAATGCATGCGAGTTTGTGCAAAGCATTAGGTGGGTTAGAATGATCTCTTAAAAAGAACCAAACGAGTACTCTCCATTTCATATTAATTTTCCATTCAACTTTTAATATATGTACAAAATTATAATGAACAATTAGGCTCTCGTGTTTTAGGTTGGAAAAATTAACTTTTAACTTCTCCCAACTCCTTTGAATTTCGTCCAACTCCTTTCAAATTCTTCCAACAACGATTTAAAAAAAGGTATTTTATATATGATGAATACTATATATATATATATATATATGGCCCAGTTTGGCATCAGCTTTAGCTATTAGCGTTAGCGTTTTGAAAAGGCTATCCGACGGTAGCCTTTAGAGTTAGCGTTTTTGGATTTAATCTACACCATTAAAATTTTATCCAAAACGCTAAAGCTAATCGAAAAAGCTGTTCCCAAACATAGCCTATATATATATAGAGTAAGTTTTTAACATTTTAATTCTTCCAACATTTTTTAACTTCTTTCAGTTTTTTCAATTTTTTCCAATTGTTTCCAACATCTACTTCGAAAATTCTAACCTAAAAGAACAGATTCTTAGTATGAAATAGAGTGAGTATTACTTCCTCCATTCCTAAATGATTTACACACTTTACTATTAAAAAATCACAAATTTTTTTGTTTATTTGTGTGATTTCATTGATTTTTTGATAAAATAAAATATTTTAATCACTTCTTGTTTTGTAGAACTTTTGATGTATTTTTTAAATATGTAAGTTTTTTTATATACGTAATAATTTTTAAATAAAATAAATTAAAAAACTTAAGTTTTACTACATTTTACGTAAAAGGTAAATGATTTAGGGACGAAAGGAGTATCTAAAAAAAAGTCTCTTTTAATATTATAAAGAATACAAACCTTTGAGGCAGGACACCGGTAATTTAGATTTACTTTAGACAGAAAAGTCTATAGGTGTATGACTTTTAACACGTTCGCTTTTTGACAATTGCCCATTTGTGCGCCATTTATCTTCGCTTTAGCACTTTCAATTAGGTATCTATGACCTGACCAGGCTAAAGTGCATTCACGATAAAGATTTAATTAAAGGGTTTTGTTACTTGCAAATCGAGTATATCACTTTGTACTCGAGTCTTTTACATTGATATGGACAAATATTGGTGTGAAACCAACAATTATATTACTCCCTCCGTCCTAAATTATTTGTCACATTTCTATTACCGAGATAAAATATTAAGTTTTTTAAATTCATTTTATTTACATATTGGTAAAGAAATACTCCTTCTGTCCCATAAAGTGTTACCCATTTTGACTAAAGTTGAAATTAAGGGAGGGATAATTTTGTGTTGACTTTCCAAAAATACCCTTGATGTGATGGGTAAAAGTAGGATGTGATGTGTAGATTATTAGGAAAAAGGTATGATGTGATAGGTAGAGTTTGAAAAAGTAAGGGGTAAAAGTAGTTTTTTTATAGAAATGGGTAGGAGATTGTGAGACACAAATTTTTTGAAACGTGTAAATCTTTTTGGGACGGAGGAGGTAAAAAATAAAAATTACATATCAAAAAACTACATGAAAAGTTCTTCGAAATAAGAGGTGTCAAGAATATTTTATTTTATCAAATAACCTATGAAAATGTAGAAATAAACAAAAGTTCCCGCGACTGCTGAAAAAGCAAATGTGGCAAATAATTTGGGACGGAGGGAGTAATATTTTCTGTTAATGTGTATTACTGTTCTGGGAGTACAAAATACTCATGTACAAAGTATGATACACTTGTATGGTGTAAGTAGCATTATTCTTAATTAAACCCTTTCTATTTTGATACTTTCGATTAAATAGTGGTACTTTTTTATATTAAATTATACAAAAATATATTTAATTATAATGTAAATTCAGTATAATTGAATTATTTTTAGGATATAATTATGATATTTCAAATTTTTATAATATTTACATATATATATATATCTAATTTATAATAAAAGAGCGTCAAAATTTGATAAAAATCATAACAAAGAGGTTTTTCTGAGACGGAGAGAGAGTATATTCCATGTAAATTTATGATTTAATTTTTTTACAATTTTCAATGTAACATTTTGATTATTATTACTCACTTTAGACTTTTTTGATCAAAATTGATAATGTTTAACCATCAATTAAATAAAAGAATATTAAGTATTGATACAAATATAATTTTATTAGATTTATTTTATAAAATGTTTTCAAAATACGGAGTATGTTTTTATCTAATTAATATATCATATATATTTTATTTAATTATAGTTCAAAGTTAAAAATAGTTGAGTATATAATTACAAACGGGACAAATAATCATGAACGGAGATAGTGACTTTTTAAACTATATATGAATACATTTTTGTATAAATATAAAATTGCATTTCAATTTAATACGGAGTAAATTTATACTCTATTAACTTTATGAAATTGAATTAATAAAAGTCAAGCGTAATGAAAAATATACGAAGTATGAGGGAAAGAGTATATTATTTACTCCCGTACTTTTTAGCAGTAGTTGCGCCCGACTTGTGAACCTTTTTTTTGGTAGGTCCTGACTTGTGATCTTTAATTTGTTTGTTTTTGGTCGAATATAATGACCTTTACTTTGTTGAGAAAGTACCAATGCATTTGTTAAAGCCATTCCATAATTACAATATTTATTTTTATTTATAAATAAATATAAATTATAAAGTAATAATACTCCATATGTTCCTGAAAACCTTTTTCTTTTCTTTTTTTATCCGTCCAAAAAGAAAGTCTTTAGCTTTAACATTTTCAAAATTAATATATACCATTAAAATTTTATACGAAACGTTAATGCTAATCAAAAACATTCTTCCCAAACAGGGCCTAAAAGTCGAAAAACATTTTTTAAAATTTTAAAATTTGAAAATTGGCCGGATAAATGTATGCAGACTTTTTCCCTTTTTGAAGAAAATTTGGAAAAACTAAAAGCAAAATAAAGATTTCTTTTATTTCTGAGTTTTCCACAAAAAGTAGGTATTCTATTTCCTCATAATGGAGAACCCAATTCAATGTCATTTTTTCCTTTTAAGTGTGATGAGGACTTTTCAAGTTTTCATTAATGGTAAAAGTCATGAATGCTAACTCCCCTCACATCAATTCTCTATATATTCTCATATGCTCCATATTTATTTTAAGCAAAGACTAAAAAAAAACCCCTAAACCCATTCCTTCTTTTATTCTTCTTTCACCCTAAAATTCTCTCTCTTTCTCTAATAATGGCTGAGGTTCAAGAAAGCCACAACACCCAAGGCATCAAGCTCTTCGGGGCAACCATAATCACAGTGGTAAAAGAAAAGAAACCGAACAAAACCAACGATGATCCACCAGCGGATCACAAGAGGCCCGACAAGGTGATTCCATGTCCGAGGTGCAAGAGCATGGAGACCAAGTTCTGTTACTTCAACAACTACAACGTTAACCAGCCCCGGCACTTCTGCAAGGGCTGCCAGCGGTACTGGACCGCCGGCGGCGCCCTCCGGAACGTCCCCGTCGGGGCCGGTCGCCGGAAAAACAAGCCGCCTTGTCCGATGATGATGGGCGCGTTTTCCCCCGAGGGTTGTTTCTATGATGCCGCTTCCGGGCTTCTGCACCGTATTGAGTTCGATGAGGCGGCGGCTGTCAGGCAGTGGCGCGTGGCTCAGCAGGGTCGCTTCGAGGAGCTTTTGCCGGCGAAAAGAAGCAAAATCTCCGCCACTAATTGATTAAGTTGTACCCGCTATTATTGTTAATCTATACGGAGTATATGTGTAGAGAATGAAATGAGAAAAGCAAAAGAATACCCCATATAAAATAAACTCGTAAATAGATGCTTGCATAGTTTTAATGGTTACTTGTAATAATTGTTTAATTGTATAACCACGTCTTTTTTTATCACTAATAATTTTATCATATACTCTCTCCGTCCCATAAAGTGTTACCCATTTTGATTAAAGTTGAAATTAAGTGATGTATAATTTTGTGTTGACTTTCCAAAAATACCCTTGATGTGATGGGTAAAAGTAAGATGTGATGTGTAGATTATTAGGTTAAAGGTATGATGTGATAGGTAGGGTTTGAAAAAGTAAGGGGTAAAAGTGGTTTTTTAATAGAAATAGGTAAGAGATTGTGGGACACAATTTTTTTGAAACGTGTAAATCTTTTTGGGACGGAGGGAGTATAATGTAGTACTATATGTTTATATTTTTTTCTCTTCATCCTAATTTATAAATAGTCTTTTGTAATATGGTGTTTTTCATATATAATTCCAATTTTAAGAAATAAGATTCATGATTCTTGATAATTGAGACTGTATAGTAGTGACCCATGTATTATTTTCCTCATAGTCTTCAAATGAATCATTATAAAATAATTCTAGAATTGGGAGATATATATGAAAAACATAATGTTTTAAGGAATCGTTTATGAAATTCACTTGAAAAAAAGAAAATCAAATAAAGTTATACGGAGTCGTACGTTACCACATACTCTCTTCATACCTAAAAACTTTTCTTCTTTATTTTTCACTTGTCCCAAAACTTTTTTCTTTTGGCGTAAATGAACATAAACATTCATGTTTTTTCCATATCTAACATAGCTTATCCCAGGTACGTTTTACGCCTTCCCTATTATTCAACTACTTCATCCATCCCAGAAAGTAAAATCTCATCTTTTTTAAAATTGACGTGAAATATCACTTTTACAAAGTAACCCTAAGGGCATTTATGAAAGATTAAATAGCAAAATACACGCCCCTTAACTTATCTAAAAGTCACAACCGGAAAACTTTTAAAGAACAGGCATCGTTCCGTTCAACTAATTTATTCTGCTTATTACTAATATTTTTATTTTTATTATTACTATTACTATTATTACCATTATTATTGGTATTATTACTATTACTATTAATATTATGATTATAATTATTATTACTATTGGTATTATTATTACTACTATTAATATTAATAATATTATTATTGTTAGTATTATTATTACTATTATTATAATTATTACTATTAGTATTAATAAATTTATTATTACTATTATTATTATTACTATTATTATTATTATTGCTATTATTACTACTAGTACTACCATTATTATTATTTCTACTACTATTATTATTATCACTATTAATATTATTATTATTATTATTACTATTACTATTACAATTACTATTATTATTGTGACTAAAGTTATTATTACTATTGTTATGATGATTATTAATTACTATTATTATTATTACTTCTACTTATATTACTACTACTATTATTATTATTAGGATTATTATTATTTCTATTATTATTACTAATATTATTATTATAGTTATTATTATTATTACTTTTATTAATACTGTTATTATTATTATTACTATTATTATTATTATTATTTATATTATCATTATTTCTTTTATTATCAATATTTCTATTATTGTTATTACAATTATTATTAGTATTATTATTATAGTTATTATTATTACTATTCTTATTACTATTATTATTATTACTTTTAGTATCTTTATTATTATTATTATTATTATTACTATTATTATTAATATTTCTATTATTATTATTATAACTATTATAATACGAGTAACTATTAAAATAAAAATTTTAATTTTAAATTTAATCAAATATATATTTGATCAAACTTAATCTGATCAAATCATTCTAGATCAGATCAAATCAAATCACATAAGATCATACCAGATCTGATCATAATTCCAAAAAATCAGATCAGGCAAACGGAACGTAGCCTAAATAAGTATATATATACGATTTTGGTTTTTGAATTGGTTTTTCGAAAGTCGGATACAGTTATACCTGTTCTTTATTAGACGTGCTATTATTTCATCTAGATTCTAGATTTTACTCGTATATTGAAATATTTGTAAAATTTACTCTCTTTTTTAATTAGCTTTTTTATAAACTTTATGCGTTATGCAGTACCTTTTCTCTTTTTTTTTATAGCTTTTTTGCATTTTCATCCCACAATGTCAAACTTTTTTGGCTGGCCCACAATGTCACAAAGACACAAACTGTTTATTCTTTTTGTGTGGCAATGCATCTCCTTTTACACATTTTTTATTTAGCTTTCAAATGAATATTATTCCGTCTCTAAATCATTTACTTTTTACGTAAAACTAAGTGAAATTTTAAGTTTTTCATTTATTTTATTTAAAGATTCGTATATAAATAAAAAATAAAACGATAAAAGAAGTATAAAAAATTATTAACAAAGTAATAAATTGAAAACGATAAAAATTTAAATACAACGTATATACTCCGTAAGAAGTAGTGATAATTTAATTACTCCGTAAATTACAACGTATATACTCCGTAAGAAGTAGTGATAATTTAATTACTCCGTAAATCCTTATAGTGAATGCAGTTTAGCCTGGTCAGCTCATAGATACCTAATTGAAAGTTCAAAAGCAAAGATAAATGGTGCACTAATTGGCCGATTGTCAAAAAGCAAACGTGTGAAATGTCATACCTCTTTAGACTTTTTCGTCTATAAAGGATAAAGCTAATCCAAAGGTTTGTATTCTTTAGAGAAATGCTTGGTTTACAAACAACAAACATAATGGTCACAAACATTACAAATTTACTACTTGTCAATTTCAATGAAAAAATTAAATGGTCTAAAGTGATTTTAAAATGAAATTCTAAATCATAAATAGTAAGTTTGTGAACCTTGTGAGTATTTTGTTTGTGAAGCTAGCATTGCTTTATTCTTTATCCTACTCCGTATTAAGTTCTTTTTTAAATTTATTGTTATACTTTTCTTGATATACTAAAAAATGATTTAAGAAATTAATGTACACATAAACTATAGCGACCACTATGTTGCTGCTAGATTCTGTATTAATATACAAAATAAATGTAATGTAATTTAGGGTGCATATAAAAAAATATATGAATCCAATACATTATATTGGAGGAGAGTAGGAGAGGTTTTATTGTTTGTGATCATTGTATGTAATCTTGTACTCCCTCCGTCCCGGAGTATTCGTCCAGTTTTGACTTTTGGAACTGTTCATCTAAGCACTTTGACTCATCAAATTCTCTCAATGTGTAAGCCTAAATATAATCATGTGTAATCTTGTTTGATTTGTCTTAACATATAGATTATTAATATATAATTTCTATCATTTTTTAATATACAAATTACAAGATAAAATGGATTAAAGAAGTGTATTGGATGATGTGTAAAAATGAAAGTGGTCAAATACTCTGGGACGAAGGTAGTACGTTGATTTAGTGAATGACTATTACACTGAAACGGAGCCCAGATAAGTTGGAGAGTTTCCTTCAAACTGCGTAAACAATACTGTGTTATTTATTGATGTTTTTTACCTTCGTACGTAGCTGTGGTCAGTGGTATAATATTTTTGTTGTATGTTTGTTTGTTCGATCTCTACCGTTTGCACAGATAATTTTTTTGTGTAAACTCTACACCCATAGGATATTTAAATTTCAACGGGATCTGATCAGCTTTTGAACGAAAAGATAGGTAAAGAGATAAAAGTAATTAGAACTTTTGAATTTTGAGGTCTTTTATTACCTTGTGGCTCGTGCACATGGACTGACGCACAATGGTCCATATCCGATTTAACAAGGCTCGTTTGCTATCTGTGTTAAATATTAACCATAAACTTTTGAAATGGTAGACTCTAGCGTTAGTATTTTCAGAATTAATCAACACTATTAAAATTTATCCAAAACATTAACACTAATTGAAAACGTTATTCCCAAACAAGGCCTAAATGAAAACGCTGATTGGAGTACACCAAGTGTACAAGGCAAAAATAGGTGCGCACACACTCACACTTATTGTTTGTGCCCGCACAGACATTAAAAGTCTGAGAGTACCTACTTTCGCTTTGATGTAAATTTGGTGTACTCCAAATAAGGTTCTCCTAGCACTCCTCAAATGAAAAATAAGTATTGTCTCACTTCTAACAACGTATAAAATTATATTTTTTTTGAAATGATTTTAATTATAAATTCATAGAAATTTTAAAAGTAAAAATTAATTACACACAATGAAAATACACAAATAATAAAATTGGCGAGAAGTCAGATTAATAACTGGGACGATACTTTACGGAGGGAGGAAATACGGAGTATTACACAAATATGTATTCAACTTCAAAACTTTCTCTTTTTTTCATTTTGCTACTGAGTTTTACTCTTTTTTTTTTTTTTTTTTTTTTTGTGTTTTTTTGTGACTTTACTTTCATAGATATAGGCCGCACTGTCGCTGATGCACTTTTTTCCTTTTTCTTTCTTTCTCTCTTTTTCTTTTTCTTTTTTCTGTTGCTATATACGGAGTATTTTTTTACCTTTACTTTTAGGCTATAATATTGGACCACACTAATTTTTTAAATAATTTAATTTCCTAATTTAACATTTCCTAATTTATTTTTACTATGCTATTTAATTTGCCATTTACTATCTCTATCGCAATAAAGTCTTCCAACATGGATATATATGCTTCCATAAAAAAATCTTATTTGATTCTTCTTTTTTATCAAAATTTTCACATGTCGATCATATATTTCGTAAAATTTTGAATTCTAATATCATAAAAACTTAACGTCATTAATTTGTACGTATATAGTGAAGATAATAATGATTAGAATGTTACATTGAACATCATAAAAAATGAGGTAAAAACTTAACGTCATCTAAGATATTCACTTTCAATAATGGTATATACCAAATTATTAAATCATTTTATTATTATTATTTTTGTTCCCATTAAGTTACAAGGCAATTGCAGAAAATTACTGTGCAACACCTTCAATTTTCTAATAAGAACTCATAAATCTCACATTATCTGAAATATACTTTGAGAATTCGTAAAATTTGTGCTAATGTACTTCGAGATTACCTTATGTTCCTTTGGCTATTAAGATTGAAAGTTCTAATACTTTGATCAATCAAACACAAAAAAAAAATTACTCTGGAGTACCTTATGTTTTCTGCTAAGAACTCATAGTTTTCAAATTATTAAATTCTACATTATATTGAATAATTATAATTATATGAAATTCTAGTAAAATCTATCAATTTCTAATTTGAATAACATTAATCTTAGTTGTTATAAAAACCATTACCTTATGTATATTTTCTTCACAAAAAAATATTTTAAATCATTATATTTTTAAAAGTTAAAGAACTTCTAAATTTTTAAAAATATCAATAAATTAAAGTATTTCTAAATTTTTATATATTTCAAAGGTGAGTATATGTATAATAAAACTATAAATTTTAATTAAAAAGTTACAAAAAATTGCATGTATAATAAAATTTACCTATGGCGCTGTTAGGGGGCAAATTTCTCTAAGCCTAGGAATGACAGCAGTATTATTAATTAGTAGCATTATCAAAACAAATGCAAACACTTTATCAAATAAATTGTATTCTTGGAAAATACGCTTAGGCAAAAGAAAAATATTATCACTAGCCTATTCATTGTAATCACGAAATGCAGAGACAGAGTGTCTTCTTTGAGAAGCACGTGAGCTCGAACCTTCAGAGATGGCCATAGCTTTGCCTTTGTTAGAACGTCCTCGGTTCACAACGCCCATATCTACGGACCTTCTACTACACCCTCGACATTTTTATATTTTTCTATATTGATAAAAAAATAGGACTATATTTTAGAATATTATAATATGATAAATTTATATTATTAATAAAATACTCCCTCCGTCCCACTCTCTTTGTCCACTTACCTTTTGGCACACCATCCAATGCACTTCTTTAATCCATTTTATCTTGTAATTTGTATATTAAAAAATTATAGAAATTATATATTAATAATCTATATGTTAAGACAAATCAAACAAGATCACACATGACTATATTTAGGCTTACACATTGAGAGAATTTGATGAGTCAAAGTCCTTAGATGA